TTAATTACTATTTAGCATCAGTGTTGTAGTCGAGTCGCGCCCCCCCCCCGGTCCGAGTCCGAGTCCGCGCCATCCCGAAGTCCGAGTCCAGTTTTTGATTAAAAAAAAAGGAAAATCGGAAAAAAGGGAAAAAATCGCAACAGCTGCATCGTAGACATTCGAAGTGTATAGCGATGTTTCACGTGAGTCATAGATCAGGTCACGTGTATTTGTTAATGTAGTTGTGGTTGGCAGAAGCCGAAACAGCGGCGCGGGGCTGCTTGAACATATTACAGAATGAAATCGATCTCTCTCTCTCTCTCTCTCTCTCTCACTCTCTCTCCCTGCATCACAGACGCAACAGACCTTCTTCTGAGACATGAATACGAAAATTGAGTATCAGAAAGACGAACGTCGTATCGCTGTATAAAGGTCAAGACACACTACAGCGACAACGACCAACCGTAATACATCTATGACTACACGCACACCTTTATACACTTTTTATGTGTGTCAGGGCACACCTTTATACCCTGGTCGTGCTGTCGACATGATCGTATATCTATATAATGTCTATAGATACGTTTATGCTGTCTGACATAGTATTAAACGATTGAAGACCTCGCAAGTTTTTTCCAAGTGGGACAGTAACACGGTGTCTTGAACACGTGTCAATCTCCTGCGTACACATTTTTAAAGTAATATTGTGACTTAAGAGCAACTTAACTCTTTCTTTAAATATTGAAGCTATTTCACTCCTTCCGTAGAAATGTAACACATAACATCCAAATATATCTGAAAAGTCACCAAAACAGCAGACGAACTATGAGCATTCTATAAATGATACAAAATTCGATAAAAATTACATTTGGCTACAGATATACTCAGCAAATACATGGTACACAGGTAGAGCAAGCATATAGGAAATAGATAACCTTAGTTGCCATACAACAGTTAATGACATCATGATTAAATCAAATAATGTAGTGCACCTTGATAAAAAAAAAAGTCGACTATCTCCAAAAAACTGTGGGTTAGCACTTGGACGACTGACATGTCTTTGTTTATCGTGGATGATGATGAAGATAGCAAGGTGATATGTGCAAGCACTGACTAGCTAATGACACCTAAGCTATCCTCTGCAATGCTTGAAACCCTAATACAGTAGATAGGCCATATAATGGTGGGCTCTGTTCAAACGTGGAATCAACCACGAGCAAACGGCTGTCACGCTCGCGTGGGTCCATACTAGTGCTGGCTACATGAAAAACACAACATGCAGCTTTTCCTCTGCTGCACGCGAGTCATTCATGTCTATACGCTTGCAAGACTGCATCGATGTAGCCACGGAGTGGAGACACGCACATACACACGCCCGCACACACACACACACAACACACACATACCAACACACACACACGCACACACACGCACCTGCAAACACACCAACACACACACGCAAGCACGCACGCAAGCAGATTTGCCACGACGACACCACGAAAAACATCGCGCGTGTGCAGGGCCCCTCCGCTAAAGTCTGCCGTAACTGCGGGCGATGGATGCCGCCGTGCGTCGCCACGGTTACTTCTCGGTAAGCGACAGCTGGATGATGAGCTCGAGCTCAGCCTGCTCCTGCTTGTGGCGCGCTGCCGCACCGTCGGCCTCACGCTGAGACATCGCCATGGCGATGCGCAGCTGGTCATCGCTGCACTCAGACTCGCTGTTTTCGCTCGTGTTTCCGTTTGATATGTCGACAACGTCGCTGTCGCTGGAGCGAACGCTCGTGGCAGCAGGCGCTGCTGCCGCCGCCGCCGCCGTGTCGTGCAGACTCGCCTCGATTGCCCTGGCAACAGCGTCAAACATGCAGAAACATTATTCACGGCCGGTCATGCTCACACAGCGCACATCTCCCGATGAAGCTACGTTACATAGAAAAACATTCGGGCGTGTTATTGCAGATGATTCATGGGCCGTGTGTACCAGGAGTAAGACAATAATATAAGAATTAATTAAGACATAATGTGTAATATCTTGCTTCTGGTCGCAAATATGTATTTGTACATCAATACAAGTATATATGGGTGTATCATATATAAATCGTCCATACATACATATAGCTGTGTTAAACGTTTTACCCATGTTTGTCATTATATACTGTCTTGTCTTATATCGTGGCATCTTATATATTGTCAACTCCTATAGCCATACCCGATGACCTGTCGGATTTATTACCTATCAAATTATATTACATAAAATATGTATTCACACTAGACTGTACCTCTGCAACTGTCGCTCTTCGTAGCTGATATAGGCTGATGGCGGAACAGTTTGATTCGGCTGATTCGGCGACGTATCGGATGGTCTTCTGTTGGTCAACGCCTCCCAGACGGTCACCTGATCGTTTTCGCTTCCGTTCTCTAGGAGGCTCTGCTGGATGGCAAACTGCAGCAGCTCATCATCCTCATCTCTAATGTGCTCCACTCGGTGCACGTCTCCTGCAGATACAGGGGAAGAGTAATATTATATAATATAATATATAATATATATAAATATAAATAATATATATATATATAAATATAATATAATATAATATAATATAAGTAGCCCAGTCAATATATGAAATACCCAGAACAAATTGCAACAAAATTTTCATATATTGACTCGACTAAAGAGAGAAAATAAGTGTGAGCCAGATAACGAGTTGCCTACTGGGCAATTTCTGTGTGAATTTATAGGGCAATTACTGGGCATTTATAGTAGTCGTTATTACATCTTTGCATCATCGTTCGTTATATCTTTAAATAAGCACACTATGGTAGAAGTCGACTTGCCGGCATGCACGTTTATTAGTGTGTTATGTATCAATAAACGGGAATGTAGTTACCGCTCTATCATTGTCGTCTGCACACAGAGATACCACTGTTCCATGTAGTTACCGCTCTATCATTGTCGTCTGCACACAGAGATACCACTGTTCCACGTGCTAAACGCGCGGGTGACGTTTGGCAACATCAACGCGTCGGAGGAAGCCGTGCCGAACGTGACGATGCTGAGCGAGGCAGACGGCACGGTGCACTGCAACGTAGACGAGTCCGTGTTCGACGTCCCTGCCAACTACCTCCGCCTCGGTCAGAACGCAGGTGCGACAATGCTGCTCGTGCGATGACGCGTGACGCCACACGCGTGTTATAGATGGCGCGGCGTCGTTCAGATTTACTGCATCATTTTGAAAGCGGTCATAGCTTCTCGTGTTGCTCGTGTGTGGTGATGTTCTGGGTGTACAAACCAGCAAAATAGTATGGCGTTGTACAAATTTACCTGGCTTTTTTCTGAAGCAGTGATGGATAACTTTTTACAGTGTACTGGTTTCACTGACAGCAACATTGCAGGAAAGTGCTGAACGTATTAACGTTTTCTGTATTGTTGCTTTTCTATTTAGGACAGAAACCTTTATTAACTGTTTGAGGTTTAAAGAGAACGATCAACCTAAAGTTGATGGGCATTTTTTAATGTGTCCCTTTTCGTGTAACGCCATTTACACCAACGTTTTTTTTAAGAGATACCACTGTTCCATGTAGTTACCACTCTATCATTGTCGTCTGCACACAGAGATACCGTGTGCAGACGACAATGATAGAGCGGTAACTACATGGAACAGTGGTATCACTGCGTGAGGACGACAATGATAGAGCAATAACTACATGGAACAGTGGTATCTCTGTGTGCAGACGACAATGATAGAGTGGTAACTACATGGAACAGTGGTATCTCTGTGTGCAGACGACAATGATAGAGCGGTAACTACATGGAACAGCGGTATATCTGTGTGCAGACGACAATGATAGAGTGGTAACTACATGGAACAGCGGTATATCTGTGTGCAGATGACAATGATAGAGCGGTAACTACATGGAACAGCGGTATCTCTGTGTGCAGATGACAATGATAGAGCGGTAACTACATGGAACAGTGGTATCTCTGTGTGCAGACGACAATGATAGAG